GGGGAAGGAGACTCCACAGCCTCCCAGAGCAGCCTGTTCCAGGGCTCTGGCACCCTCCCGGTCAAGACATTTCTCCTCAAGTTCCCCTGGAAGTTGGCGGTGTTTCTGTTTGTGGCCGCTTCGTCTTGCCCCGCCGGTCAGAGGGGTTTTTAAGTGCAGCGCTGGCGGCATTGCAGCGGTGCGCACGTAGCCGAAGGCTGGCCGGGGTGCAAGGTTGCTTGGAGGGCGCTCGGAGCTGTTGGGCAAACGCGTCTGTGACGGCATCGCTTGTGCCGCCCCGTGGTGCAGCCGTGAGTGCAGCTTGCAAGGACAGTGCAGGGTCCCTGCATAATAATATGGGGTCCTTGAATAACCCCAGGCAGCAGCACAGAGGAGGGGTCGACCTGCTGGAGAGCAGCTCCACGGAGAGGGACCTGGGAGTCCTGGTGGATACCAAGTTAACCATGAGTCAGCAGTGCCCTCGTGGCCAAGGAGACCAGTGGGATCCATCAGGAGGATGTTGCCAGCAGGCCAAGGGAGGGGATCCTGCCCCTCTGCTCAGCTCTGGGGAGGCCAAACCTGGAGYATTGGGGGCAGTTCTGGGCTCCCCAGGACAAGAGGGACGTGGAGCTGCTAGAGAGGGTCCAGCGGAGGGCAACAAAGATGGTTGAGAGACTGGGGCATCTGTCATATGAGGAAAGAGTGAGGTGGGCCTGTYTAGCCTGGAGAAGAGAAGATTGAGAGGGGATCTTATCAACACATATAAGTACCTGAAGGGGGAATGTCGGGAGGAAGGGGCCARGCTCTTCTCAGCGGTGGCCAGTGACAGGACAAGGGGCAATGGGAGCAAGCTGCAACACAGAAAGCTTCATCTCCATGTGAGGAAGAACTTCTTGACCATGAGGGTGCCCGAGCCCTGACACAGGCTGCCCAGGGAGGCTGGGGAGTCTCCTTCTCTGGAGATCTTCAAAACCCACTTGGATGCCGCCCTGTGCCCGATGCTCTGGGTGTCCCTGCTGGAGCAGGAGGGTTGGACTGGATGATCTCTAGAGGTTCCTTCCAACCTTAACRCTTCTGGGATTCTGGGATTTCRTGAATGCTGCTGCAGGGCAGGATGAGGCACAACTAGCGGCAGCCTAAGGCAGGAGAGGTCTAAAGAGAGCTGCTCCTAGCAGAACTCGGATCCTTTGGGAGGGACATATGCCACATCTGGGACGTGTGGGTGATGCAGGGACGGGGAGCGTCTTCGCTCCTGGCTTGTRAGTACCAAGGGAGCAGCGTGAGATGGAAGGTAGCAATGAAGGGCATAGTTCTGCGTGCCCTCCCAGCCCGGAGCTGGTTTGCTGAGCTCGGGACCTCACAGAAGGTGAACACAGCTGGAAGAAGCCGAGTTCCAGCGGGGTTTGGTTGTTGCTCCCTGAAGTTCACAGCCAGTTCAGCATTGCCGGGGCTCTTGCATGGCAGGATTAAAGTAGAGGGCCGTGGCTGGACGGCAGGCTGGGACTTAAGGCAGAAGGTGAGACCCAGCACAAAGACCCTCTGTGCCTTCCTGCGGCACGCAGAGAGCTGGGCACCACGCCGTGTCGGGAGCAGAATGCTCTTTCCCCAGTCACCCTTACTCAYGTTCACGCATCTTTCCCCCTGCAGCCTTTTCGCGAAGGAGAACCTGCACCGCATGAGCGAGCGGCAGCTGAACCTCTACGACCGCCTCATCAACGAGCCCAGCAACGACTGGGACATTTACTACTGGGCCACAGGTACCCAAGCAGCCCGTGAACCAGCCGGCTTTGGCTGTGATCTCCTCGCCTGGCTCGAGGTTCAGGGCTGCAGACGAGGCTGGGGTGGCTGTGGGTGCAGGGTGCGGGTCTTGGTGTCGCTGGTGTCACGCCGAGTGCTTTGGGGACGTGGCACCGAGCGCGTTGGGACAGGGTAGAGCCACCGCCGCTGTGGTGCCAGTGCCTCTTCTCGCCGCAGAAGCGAAACCCACGCCGGCCGCGTTCGAGAGCGACGTCATGGCCATGCTGAGGGAGTTCACCAAGAACAAGAACAGGGAGCAGCGGCTGCGGCAGCCGGACCTGGAGTACCTGTTCGAGCCGCCGCGCTGACGCCTGTGCCCCGCTGCGCCCCACTGCCCTGCCCTGGCAGTGGCTGCTCGCCCAGCCCCTCGGGGCACCGCGAATAAAGCGATATCTGCCAGCCGCTTAGCTCGTGCTTTTCCAGGCTCTTGCTCCGTTGCGTGGGGCGGCGTCTGCGTTTTGGTGACACGGGCAGCAAGGCCCGTGGAGGAGGCAGCTTGCCGGCGCCCATGGCAGCTCCCTGCTGGCTGTGACGCTTGCGGTGCCTTGGGCTTTCCTTCCAAACCCTCCTCCGGGAGCCTCRGCGGGAGGTTGGAAGCGAAGCAGGGCAGGGGGAGGTGACCCCACAAACCGGCACGTACCATGTGAGCACCAGCACGAGGGCAGGGGGCCTGGTTTGTGCCGCAGGAGCTCGCTGCTCTTCGGCTGATCTGTAGCAATGGGGCTGGGGCCTTTGGCACCATTCTTGTGGAAGAGGCAGCTCCTGGACTGCTGCCAGGCGTGGCCTCTTCCTTTCCCCCTCACCCCCAGCGTGATCTGTGTCAGCTGGAGATGAGAGCAGTGTCCTCCACAGCATCACAGAAGGGTTGAGGTTGGAAGGGACCTCTAGGGATCATCTTGTCCAAACCCCCTGCTCAAGCAGGGACACTTACAGCACGTGGCACAGGGTGGCATCCAAGGAAGGAGACTCCACAGCCTCTCTGGGCAACACTAAAAGAATTCTTTATGGAAAGAATTTCCATAAAAGAAAGAATTTATGGAAAGAATTTTCCATAAAAGGAATGGGAAACCCGAAGTTTTGATGGTGACGCTAGCCACAGATCCCTGTGTTAATGCGCGGTGTCCTTCTGTTCCTTTCCACGTTGCTGCCAGCAACAGGGAATGGAGGAGAAGACTTGCACGCCCGAGTTCCTGACCATCCACCCCGATTCCTTGAAGTCCTTTTGGATTGCCCTCAGGCTGCATGTTGCCAGTTCCTCTCCTCCCACGTGTAGGACACGCAATGGGTAACAGTTCTGAGGCTGGAAGCAGGCTGGGAAGTTTCCTGGTGATGTCCTTAACCTGGCCCCAGGAAGGCAGCGCACATCCCTTACCGAGGAAACACCTTGTGCAGTTGGGACCCGTAGTTTCCTTTATTGTGGAATCACCCACAACTACAACCCACCTTTTCTTCCTCCTGCAATATGGTTGCAGTACGAGGGGTTGGTCTTTCTGACCCTAGCAATRTCTCAGTGACACGGGAATTTGGTGACAGGATACCAAGGGACACCGGGTTCATCTCGTGGAYTGCAGCCTGGCTCCCTCGCGGCTGCGTGGGGCCCAGGCCGCGCTGCTCCTGTTGGTGGGCGGCCTTAAAAGGGGGCCACGGGTGGGTGCTGTTGGGCCGGTRCTTGCAGTGGGTGCTGTTTGGGTGCCGGCCGCTGGAGGGCTGTACGAGCCCGGCTTGGTGGCGCTGCCTTTTGGATGACACAGCTTATCTGCAGAGAAAACAGCTTGGGCTGCAGCGCTGGGCTGGGGGAGGAGGAGGAGCGGGAGGAAGGAAAGACCCCCGGCAGCTGCATCTCTTGCAGGACGGAGCAAAGGGAGCTGGSGCACAGCGTGTGTCAGCCCATGGTGCGTGGCTATGTGGCCGTGCACGCAGGACRCGTGTGCACGTGTGCCCCTGTGCAGGCAGCAGGCCTGTGCACACGCGTGTGTGGGGGCCATGGGGCGCGTTTGTGCATGCCACAGGCCTGCACCTAGGAGTGTCCGTACGCACATCCGCGTGCCTGGGCATGCGGCAGGTTGTGCACCCGCAGGTGGGGTGGGCAGAGGGCTGTGCACACGTGTGCAGGAGCGTGCACAGGTCTGGGTGTGCAGTGGGCTGTGCACCCCCACGCAGGAGCATGCACAGGTCTGGGTGTGCAGCAGG